CAATTCATAGATTGTGGGTGATAAAGTATTTGAAATGCTCAAATAAACTAAAATGCTTCAATAACTACCTCCACATTTTGGGCTATAACTTATTCCTGACTCATACAAATGTCTAAGTAACATTATTAGAAAACTGCTGTGTGTGTGTGTGTTCACCAGAAAATTAAGAGTCTATGTGTAGTCTTTTTTTCATATTTTAACACTTTATATTGTGACAAAACCAACTTTGAAAGTTCACAAACCTGCAAATACACCTCAGTTTAAAATTACTTCACTGGCTGCAAAAGTATTAGAATAAATTTGTGTGACTGGTATTATTGATAGAATATAAATGTCTCTACATGTGGAATATAAAAATTTAACAAAAAAATGTCTTAATTTATGCAGAAAAACTATAAAAGGTGTATCTAAAAATATGTCTGAAAATTTGCTTCTTTTTAACAAATGTTTTTAATTTTGAAGCCTATCCTGGATATGAAGTTCAATATATTTTACATGAAATGATGCAGAATTGGAAATAAAATGTGCTAAAGGGTTGTCCCAGGTAACGCTAAAAAAGTGGTATACCCTGGAGAAAAAGGTCCCTAAATTGATAAAAAAAAAATTTTAACGTGTAAATGATTATGTTAAAATTAAAGAGGGAAGACCAAGGTATTTTTTAATTATTTTTAAAAATTTTTTTTTCATTTGCAGCATATTTTAAATTTAGTTTGAAAATCGTTTTTTTTTAGGTCAAAAATTAGGTAATATTAGCATTAGTTTTTTTTCACTATTTTCAGTTGGAAAATACACATTGATTTGGAAAATCTTGCAAAAATCAAGTACTTGTTGGATTTTTATGAAACTTTCAGAACTTATTCACAAATGAATGAAATTATTTTAGAAATGTTTGTCTTTTTGAAAGTCATGGTATAAATATTTTTTTTTATATATGTTACACCCACCGAACTTAATTTTATGAAACCTTCAAAAAATTTATTTTTGTATCTGGATTTTTTATTAAATGCACAAGACTCTGAAGATTCTAAATCATCGATTTTTTGGTAAAAAAAAATGGTAGAATTGTCCAAACTTTTACCTCAATTGTAAACATACAAAACCCAATAAAACTAAGACAATATTTAATTAAAAAAGCTTTTTATGACTTTTCTGAATAACATATACTAAGGTAATTCTTATCTGAGAAAAAAAAATTTTGAAGAAAAATGAATTTTTACAATAATTTTTTCTTTTTTTTTCTATTTTAAATACACAAATGACAAAAGTCACAAAATATTAAAATATATTTTAAAATTAAGTTTCTTTATGCAACCTCATGGAATTTGTTCTCTACTTTTTGAATATCATAAATTTGAAAGCTTATTAAAATCTGACAACCAGTGATATTTTTAAAATAATTTTTTAATATTCCAAAATTGTATATAAAATCGTCTGCAACGAAAGTATGGATGCACAGCTTTGAAATAATGTCACATGAGGTAGACTTGTTTCTCTTGATAGAAGCAAGTTCTTTTTACTTCAGAAATTTTTCCTCAAATGTAAGGTTAAAAAGATCTGAAAGTGAATTTTTTTTTTAAATTTACTAACCAGGTTCACTTAAAATTAGAACGAATTACATCACTTCTGCGCTACCGTACGATAAATTCCCTTGACGTAAGTTGTCAATATATTGACAGCCATCAATTAACACCCTTCAATCACGCACCCGCGCAAGTACCACGGTTGGAAATATCTCCATTAAAAAATTTTCTGCTAAAAAAGTAAGTAATGTTTCTTTCAAATTACATTAAGTGTACTTTAATCATTCTAAATTTCCTAAGATAACAAAAAAAATGGTGTAATTGATTTTTAATTGATTTTTGAACTGAGTTTGATTTTTTGTTTACAAACTCAGGCAGAAATGTCCGATAAATCGAATTTACTAATTTTTTTTTTATTCAAGAAAAACGAATTTTTTTTTTTAAATTTTAAAAATTTATAGGAAGGATTAAAAAATCTGAAAAAATATTAAAAAAATACTTTGGTCTCCCCTCTTTAATTTAACAAACATTTACACGTTAAAATTTTTTTTATCGATTTGGGGACCTTTTTTTCTCCAGGGTATACCACTTTTTTTAGCGTTACCTGGGACAAGCAAACTATATGTATGCATGTTCATCAGTTTGGGTTTGAGTAGATTTTATTTTAAGTAACCTTATGTTTTTTTAAAAATATCGACAGGCATCTTTAAATATGGCTGCTGTTCTCACAAATGAACCCTATTTGTGCGTGCTAAAAAGAGTATCACCTGAAGAAGTCCGAAACGTTGTGATATAGACAAATAAAATATTGCTCAGGGATCTATTGGCTATCATGCAGCATCATTGTTTTGTCCACCCCTGTCTATATATAGGAGAAACCCGGATATAAGAGACTTCTCCGGTCTCGACAACTCTCTTATATCTGGGTTACACTGTATGTAATTTTCTTTCAGGTTGGACAGAAAACAAATCTACACTTAATTTTTTTTTTAAAATTTACTCTTAATTAAATATAGATGAATCAAAAATATACAGTTTAAGCTATTTTTGAGTGTTAACATGTTTAAAAGAATTTTTTTTTTCATTTTAGCAAATGTTACATTATTTTTATTATGGATGTTCAAGAAAGAAATAATTCTTTGACTACGTTTCCCTCATGAAAGAATGAGTAACATGATAATTCAATAGCTTTTACATTCAGAATAATTAAAAAAAAAAAAAACATCTTGGGTGCAATTAGAATCTAATTTTTATACCAGTTTGAACTTTGAAAATATCTAATTATTAGATATTTTCAAACAAACTGCTAATAAAAATAACAAAAATAAGAATTTTAAACTCAAAGTAAAAAAAAAAAAACAAAACAACAAAAACAATTTCTCTTTTTAAAAAATAAACTTATTCATACTGTTTCATCATATAAAAACAAAAAATACTCTTATTGACTATAAAAATAAAGTATTTTTTAACATACCAAACCAATTTTTTGATTGCACTGATGGTGTTCGGTATTTCCTTTTTTTTTTTCCTTAAATAAAACTTCAATTATATTCTTTATTTGTGACTTAAACCCAGAATCTACCGTTAAAGTCATTAAGTTTTTAAAGTAAGAAAAAACTACTTTTAAATTTAAACTTTTCCAGTTTTTTTTTTATTCATACATTATTTTTTTTTTTTTACTAAATGACGTCTTAACTACTTTATATTTTCATAGGGAAATTAATTATTCTTTTTTTTTTAATTCACATTAGATTTATGCTTTTATCTTTGAAATGTAAGTGAATTTCTTTGAAAGACAAACATTTTTAAATTATTTAAAATGCTTTTTTTTAAGAAGACATCGACGGTTCGTCTCTAAACTTACCTTTTTTCACGGCGAAAAAGCTTTTCATAGAAAAACAAAACAAGATTAAGTTGCTGTTAGATTTGATATTTCGTTTTCTTATTTTGTCATCAATAAAACTTCCTATTTGTAAAAAAATTGCAATTAAAAAATATTAATTATTTGAAAATATAAAACGTATAAGTAGTTTCTGTATACGAATCTAACAAAAGGAACCGGTGTAAAAGAAGAATTTGTTCTTTGTTCAAAAATAGTCAACGTTCAGACAATAGGCCAGGATTTTCTCATTTTTCATAAAATTTCATTATAGAAAACAACAAAATTAAAAATCTCTTAAAAATCCAACATTTGCCCAAGACATTTCTTTCATAGGAAATTAATAAATTTAAGAATTAATTAGGGTACAGTGGGGTATTAGGCACCATGGGGCATTAAGCACTTCCTGTCAGAAACCTTCACAAAACAGTCTATAAACAGACCCAGCCTTGCTTGGGGCATTAGGCACCTTAGCTGTAGGATGCTTGGACCAATCAGAAACCTGGTTTTAAAAATAGCTAGGCTGAACATCCAATGAAAAAATTTTTTTTTTTACTTGGAAGGAAGTGCTTTTTTCCTCCACTTGGCGGCCATTGCAAAAGTTTCTGGAAACTTTTCATGCTTCTAAGAGAGTCTTCAAGGAACTTCTGTTTGTGCAGTTCTTATCAACCAGCCAGCCTCCTGCATTTGTCTAGCAGCTGGGGAAGAAAACCAAGTAAGTACCTACCCTTTTCTTTTTTTTTTACTTTGATGGAAAAACATTTTTGTGCGATTTTTTTTTTTTTTGCATTGCCAGGCACCTTGTGACTTCCTGGCTGACGCACTGGTGAGTCTCTGTTAATAGCCTACATTTTTCCATAGGCCTATATTTAAAACAAAAGTGTGTATGTTCTTGTGTTGTATTTTTTTTTCTTTGAAAGATGCACAATAATTAAGCATGTCAGCATCTAATTTTCATTTTTTCAAGAGAAAGCCTAAAAAAAAAAAATGAAATGTGAGGGGTGCTTAATGCCCCAACTTAGTTTTAGATCACTGATTTAAGGTTGGGGTGAAGCGGGGCATTAGGCACCCCTTTTTTGGGCCAATTATATCTCTATATTTTACTGTAAAAAGTAAATACTGAAATAGTTTATAACTAGAGCCTAAACAGTAGGCATAAATGTTGATAAAAATTTCTTCATTCAGGCCTATAAAAAAAAAGAAGTTTGGGTCTACTTTACAGTTCTTAGATCTAGCCTACTTTACAGCTAATGACTGTGCTGTTTTGTTCTGTTACAGAATGGTGCGCACCTACAAGAAGAAGACTGACGGTGGAAGAAGAAATTTCAGCAACTCTCAAGAAATGGCCGATGCATACAATGCCGTAAAGAAAGGGGAGATGTCAGTTACTCAAGCCTCGAAGTATTTTGGCATCAACAAAAAATCACTTCTTCGACACTTTTTCAGAAGAAATTCCCGTTGACGCACGTGTGGGCAGAGCAACAGCTCTGTCTTCTATACATGAGCGGGAACTTGCAGATACTTTAAAACTCCTAGCAGGGTGGGGATGGGGATTCACTGGAGAAGAAGTAAAGAACATTGTGAAAGAGTTTACCACAGAAATGAACATCGAGACTCCATTCACAGAAGGTCAGCCCGGTTATGACTGGTTGGATGGATTTTTGAAGCGCAACCCTGATGTAGTTCCCAGGAAGACTGAACACCTGGATCGAGCTGTCTTCAGACCAGTGAAGGCGAAGTGGCAATCTCTCCTTGTCAAACATGCAAGAACCCACAATGGCCCTGTCTCCAAGAAAGATTTTGCAGCCAAGCTGAAAGTCCTTTTTGAGGAGTCTTTTGGCAGGGACACTGTGAAAGCAGGATTCAGCTCAACAGGTCTATGTCCTTTCAATCCATCAGCAATTGTTCTTCCAGAGAGGCCTCAAGTTGGATCCATCACATCTGCCTCCACTTCTGATGATCACCAGCGCTCTGGTTTCATGCTGCAGACCTCCACTTCCAGTCCCCTACGTCCCCTGCCGCAGACCTCCACTTCCACAAGTTCCAGTCCCTTCCCACAGACCACTTCCAGTCCCCTGCCGCTTACCCCCACTCACTGTCCCCTGCTGCAGCCCTCTACTTCTGGACACCAGCCCTCTACCTCTGGACACCAGCTACAGCACTCTACTGGTTACCAGACCATGGGTGCTGTTTCATCTCCATCTCCTGTCCTTTCCTTAGGCCTAAAGGACTTTTTTTTGAAGCAGCTGCAACCACGCTTCAGCATGAGTACAGGCAGGTCAGCACGAGTGCAACGCTTTCGCTATGGTGAAAGTCTGACGTCCGAAGAAAGCCTGAAAAGAGCAAGAGAAGCAGCTGAAGCAAAGGAAGCTGCCACTACAAGAGGGAAAGGGGAAGGAAAAGGCAAAGGACGAGGAAAACAGACCCAACGTGAGGAATCGCCTTGTAACAGCAACAGGTCTCGAAGCCCAGTTTCCAGTGACAACGAAGAATGCAAGCGATGTGGCCAAAGTGGAGGCAACAACTGGATCCAGTGTGATATCTGTGATAGCTGGTACCACACTAGGTGTGAAAACATTACAGCCACACTGGAGGAACTGGAAGAAATGGAGTGGTTGTGCAGTTTTTGTACCCAGTAGGGTAGGGTGCTTAATGCCCCAGGTGCTTGGTGCTTAATGCCCCGGACATCAAAAATTAAGGTCAGATTTTTTTTCTCCAACAAACTCATCCAGAATATGCTTACTTTCAAATTTTCAGTTAAAGAAACACTGGATTAACTTAATTATGTTATTTTCTATATAGTGAGACAAAAAACAAGTCACTGGTTCTTATAAATCAGGCAAAAATCATATATAATTAACAGAACTATAAAAAGGGGGTGCCTAATGCCCCGCTGTACCCTATACTTCGTAAAAATAAAATGTTTAATTTTGCTTGTTAAAAATATGGAGAACTTACAGAATAGATTTCAAAAGTGCAAGTAATGTGTTTTGTTCAGCGTAGAGACTTATCGTCTCAAATCTGAATGAAAATGATGTAATTTTTTTTTTTTTTATCTAGGTACTGTCGAGAAAGTTGCGTTTCTTGACGAAGATGGATGGTGGGTTTTTTATTCTCGGTCAGGAGAAGCAGTCGGGTTGGTTCCCCGGCAGTGTTTTCTGAAAATACTTCCTCTGTTTCGTGACCTTGACACCAGTCAAGGATCTCTTAATGATTGTGAAATGTATCATAATTGTAGCTATCTAGCAGAGAAGCTCAGAGTAATGATCGCCGTGCTGGTAACATTGGTTGGTGCCGGCTTATTTCTTCTCCAAATAGCGGCTTAGTAACATGTGCTCCTTTCGGTAACAATTGTGGATTGGTAAGTCTGACGACGGACACATGGTGCTTTAGCTAAGAAGAACTCAAGCACTGAACTGCCAGCAAGTGGAGGAGGAGCCGCCCTTGCTACTACACCCGAGGACAAGGCTGTGAGCTACGCCTTATTTGCTACGATATGCTAATGCACAGCAACCGACCTGGGAGGGACTTCGACATATGGTGTAATGGTTAAAATTAAAAAGCTTGCCTTGTTAGATAAATTACGACTGAGTAAAAATTCGATCTTCATACTTTTGGCCTCGTGCCACATCTAAGCTTAGAACATCATTTAGGGTGGGGATCACTTACAGGTGCCACACCTCCATTTCCTTCAATATCATTGGTTCGTAAATATATGATACTTATCATATGACAATTTTGCCATCACAGGTAATTTGAAATTTTCTCTAAAATCACGGATTGCTCCATTTCCTGACCAATCGCGTATTTTAGTATCTTTTCTATATTTTTAGCGCCAAGCTTTCCGGAGCCTATCCATCGTTATATAACGACTCTCGCTGTTTTCTAACAGTCAGTAGCAGTTCAATTCTTGGAAAATAAGGCACGGCGCTATATTGACATTTTAATTCTTAATTATCACTCAATCGAGTAATCATACTAATTCCTATTGATATCACTCATGAACATTACATTTTTCTACACTGATAAAACACTGTGGAACTATTCTTTATTTAGCTAAGACTTCAATTGAACTTTGTAGTTAAATAACATTCAATATTGTACTCAACATTTATTAGCTAAACTTACCCTTTTTATTACGGAAAAATGGAAGCAACTTTCTTTATACTATTGTTGATATTTGTATATCATTGTTAATACAATATTTTATTAACGTTCACTGAGCTTGATTATTTTTCTCTCGTGTTTGTTGTGCATTATTCATGTGGGGTGTTGTTTTACAAGAACACAGCTTTCCTTCTTTATTACATTCACGGTGACCCTAGCCAACAATACTTACAGCACCACTACAAGGGGTCTCCTTTAGGAGGGGCTTTCTCCCCCAGATACTTCTTTAGGGATTGGCAGAGGAAGAGAAGGTTTTTTTCCCCTTTGTGATGGATGCTGCAGTAGTAGTATTTGTTCCGTATCGAAAGCTGGTCAGAACTTGTCTAAGCCGGAGTCCTTCTCTCCTCCCTTGCGGGGAGACGACTCCCACCCCACCACAAGTCCGCCATTACTAAAGATACCAGCAATGTTGGGGACAAACAAATTCTCATTTATTATAGATACCGACGCCAGCCTATCTATTATTCCACATGTCCACGTTAAGGGTTTATCTACGGATCCAACACCAGTCACTCTAACGACAACGGCTACTGGGTCTGAAATATGTTGCTACGGGCAGCTTAAAGCTGAAATAAGCTAACCGACCCTTCGACAATCTTTTCTTTGGACGTTTGTAGTGGTGGACATCCAATACCCCACCTCACTATTAGGATTCGTCTTCTTAAATAATTTCAGATTACTAATAGATTGCTAACAGATATCCACATACCAACCTACTAGGCACGTACGCAGGAGTATACCACAGAAGTGACACAGGCAGTCATGCTCCTACCTTCGCTAAGGCCAGACGGCTGTCAGAAGAAAAAAAACCTGGTAGTGAAGAAGGAATTTTCTAAGTTACAGAAAAATGGTGTTATTACACCTTCTGTGGGTGAATGGGGGGCCAGCCCCACTACACGTTGTTAGAAAACCGGATGGAAGCTTCAGGTGCTGTAGTGATCACCGCGTATTAAACAGCATCACGAAAAGTGATAAATACCCTAATCCCGTACATTAACTCAATTGCTGATAAATTAGCCAACAAAACTAGATTCATCAAAATTGACCTGGTATCAGCATACCATTTTAGCATCACGCTACCATTTTCTTATCAATGTTGAATTTTGTACAAATCTGTGCAAAAAAGAGGATCATAAGCTTACCCAGCTTCATACAGATTTTCAGGAAATATCAGCTTCTAATTGGTCAAAAAACACACAAGTGGGCGTTGCAATCCGCCCACGTACAAATATTTTTCCAGTGCGTGACCAAGTCATGTTTTCCCGCCATTTTCCCGGGAGCCTGTCACGTGATTACATTAATTATAAATAGCAGACACGAGTTTGCTCATTCTTCTTCTCTTTTCTCTCTTTAACTGACAGTGCATGATGATTCTTCATCGCGCATAAAAGACATTGAAACTATTGTAAAAATCTTACATGACAAGAATTCCTGTGAAGATGTGACCTTAAAGGATCCTGTCTCGACCATGGACGGTCAGACGTTCAAAACATATTCACGCATGCACGTACGTACCAAATGTCCCAAGCTCCATTACAAACATAGAAAACATTTCCAAACCAGCAACAAGAACTTTTCTCTTTGAAATACTCTTCCAAAGCTAAAAGTTTATTCAGCATTTCTCAGCTTTATAATTCATTCAACTTTTGTGAGCTCAGATAAAAATATTTCAATTTCATCAGTAAAACTTTAATTCAGTCAAAGGAACACAACACCAACAAAATAGTAACCTCTATGTATGTACATCATTACACAAAAATAAACATAAATGTTTACAAATGGTCATATATATTCACATACCGTTACACCATCAAATTAAAATGCACTTTGACGATATAAAAAAACACTTATTTCTCCTCTCTGTTTTACATGAATATAAATACATGCCGTTTGGATTTAAAGAATGCAGCATCCACCCTTCCAAAGATACAATTATTTATTTCTGTTCATTACAGAAATTGTGGCAAAATGATTTTCTAAGCGTAGCTTAGATGTGGAGCAAGGCCGAATATATGGGACACCCAGTAAGGATCTAATTCACTATTCAATCGTAATTGATTTAGTAAGACAAGCTTACTAACCATTACGCTACATCGAAGTGTCCAACCTCCCAAAGATACATGTTGACTGTGTATTTACATATATTGACGATATTCTCATTTTCAGCGATGATTCTTCATATAAAAAAAACATTGAAACTTTTGTAAAAATTTTACATGACAAGAATTTAAAAAATGTCAATAGAAAAGTCAACTTTTGATGTAATTTGAGTTGATTTCTTAGGATATAACATTAGTTCGGATGGTCTAGATTCGTCTTGTTCCTATCTACCACCCCTAGTATCAGAACAGTCTATATCTTACGCCAACGTACAATAAACTTCGACCAGTTAAAACCGTATTATGCGAATCAAGAAATTTCATTGGATAACGACAATGATCTAAAAGTTTCACGCGCAGAAATCGAAATTGCGCCAAAACCTCTTTGAGCCAACTTTGGACCTTCGAAACATATATAAAGGAAAAACCGACTGACCAAAGCAGTCAGTGACAGCACCACAGAGAAATTGTCAACTTACTCCACGTCGTTCGAAACCAGACTTTGCCGCGCAAAAGTACATCAACGCTGACTCACTCATAATTCAAAACTCAGCCAACTCTGTGGACATTATTTCTCAGATATTGCTTATCTAAACTGAATTACATTCATTAAGTAAACATTTATGTGCGAACGACCTTAAAAATATTTACAGTAAAAGGTAAATTACTTAAAAAGACACTTAAATATTAACAACTTTAATATCAACATTAACGAACGATTACAAGAAAGACATTCTGAAACCTAAAACATCATACACATTTGCCAACATAACATATACTTAATATTCTGCTTGTATATCGTTTGAATTGTATATAAATGTTTTATCAGTTTCTTATATAATATATCTTGTTCTTAATATGAACTCTGGTACAAATATTTCAAGTTAAAGGGACACGACTCTGTCCTATCCTTTTGTGCATATTGTACGTCGACCTAAATAAATCTATTGTTACGTTATAAAACAATTCAGTTGAATTTTGTATTTTATTTTGATGTTAGTGGAAATAGTTAATTGACACGCAACCTATTCTCAACAAATATTACCACATAATTATTAACCCATCCACTACAATACCTTCATGAGATCGCCGGAAAATGTGCATAGCATGTATTGTAGACCTACACAAAATAAATGTATTACAAAATGCCGCCACCTCCTAAAGATACTAAGAATTTCGTCATTTCTTAGGCATGGTGAATTTTTACAGAAAATTAATCCCTAATTTTGCAGATATAGTCATGCCATTGACAGAAAAAATAGCGTATGCAGTAACACTACGTTTTACACTAAATGACTTAGAATTTCAGTCATTTTTAACAATGTTAAAAACAAAATTAGTGAATTTCCATCCCTAGCTCACCAACAGCCTGA